GCCAAGTTCATCCAGAGCAGGATTGCAGCCAGCAACCACCTGAATGCCTTCTTTGCACTCCACCCTGCAAAACTATGTCCACTGCCACCTTCAAAAGCTGACACCAACAAGCCTGCCAATAAGACTTCCTTGACTAACCCCACTTAGTCATTTTGTGTAAATTATGTTTGCAGAAAGGAAAATGTATTTATGATCCTCCTCTGTTTTCTGAAAGGATAGGTACTCTAATTGGAAGATCTTCTGTTTTACTGAACACAGTAATCTGTCCAGGGTGCACTTAGGAAGTAGGAGCTGGTATAAATGTTTTCCTCTGAGTAATGAAGGGCTGAGGAATTTGGAAGGGGCTCTGGAGTGGGAGAGTTAAGAGCAGCAAAGCTGGAGACTTTGGGTAAAAAAATAATCTAGTAGCAGAACCAGAGAGAGTACTCTAAAAGCAGTTTATAGGAGGATTACTAAATGAATTGTTGCAAGCTACATGATGTAAATTGTGTCTCCACTTCAGTGAATTCTGCCTGGTTCTCTAAGGTCCTTGTATGAGAGGACATAGCGGGTGTGAGCTTGAATAAGAGGATGAGGCTGACATCTGGATTACATGCAACATCTGAAAAAAGAAACTAGAGCAAAGGAAGTCAGAGACAGTGCCAGGGATTAAAACTTCTAGAATTGTACACACTCTCCCTTACTTATTAATTTTATAATTTAAAAATTATGTAGATTGCATTGCCATAATCTAAGACTTACCATTCACCCAATATGCAATGGGCAATCACTGAGTGCCCATTACTAGAATAATTGCTTGCAGTTATTAAATGCTTACAAGAATTCAGAAATGGAACCCTTTCTTCTAGCTGAGGTTGAGGTGGATTTTAGGGAAGGCAACAGGGAACAAGTTGTTTTTAAGCTGGGTCTTGAAGAGTGGACAGTAATTAGTTATATGAATATTTTTCAGAGGCAGAGAACAGCATAGATGATTTGACCAAAGTCAATGTCACACTTTGTTTTTTCAATAACTATGTATCAATATCCACCATGTGCCACACACTGTGTAAAGTTTCAGAGATATGAAGATTAATCTGGCTTCCCAGGTTTCTGTTAATATAGCCCTCAACTTTTCTATGCATTCCATTACTGGTTTGCCACATCTATCAGGCCTTTCTTGGACACGTTTCTGTGTGGTCAGTTTTTCCCTTGAATTCTATTGTGTGTGATGCTTTTATTTTTTTGGAAAAAAGAGAGAAAAAAAGAAAAAGAAAAAAAGAAGGACAGAAAGAAAAAAAAAGAATGAAAGAGAGAAAGAAAGAGGAAGAAAAAGAGGGAGAGAGAATAGGAGTCTTGCTTTATTGCCCAGGCTAAAATGCAGTCTAAAAATGGGTATTGAAAACCTCTTTAATGCCAATAATTGTGCTTAACAATGGAGACAGGAAGGAATAAGGGAGGAAAATAACAAACAAGCAGCCAACCAATATTTCATTTAAACCTGTGAAATGCTATGCAATTACTGAGGAGTGATTTACTTCCAATTATGTAGTCACTTTTAGAGTAGGTGTGATGTGGTACTGATAAGAATGTATGTTTTGTGGATTTGGGGTGGACAGTTCTATAAATGTTTATTAAGTTTACTTGTTCTGGGACTGAGTTCAAGTCCTGGATATGATGCTTGTTATTTATTTATTTTTTCAGACAGTTTTGCTCGTGTTGGCCAGGCTGGAGTGTAGTGGTGTAATCTCAGCTCACTGCAACCTCTGCCTCCGGGGTTCAAGCGATTCTCCTGCCTTAGTCTCCTGAGTAGCTGGGATTACAGGTGACTGTCACCACGCCCAGCTGTTTTTTATATTTTTAGTAGAGACGGGGTTTCATCATGTTGGCCAGGCGTGATCCATCTGCCTCAGCCTCCCAAAGTGCAGGGATTACAGGTGTGAGCCACCATGCCCGGCCGTGTGATGCTTTTTTTTCCACTCCTTAATTATACCACTTTTCCATTTATCCTAGTGCATTTTACGTAAGCTTTTAAATTTTTAATTTTTGTGAGTACATAGTAGGTATATATATTTGTGGGGTACATGAGATGTTTTGATATAGGCATGCAATGTAAAATAATCGCATCATGGAGAATGGGTTACCCATCCCCTCAAGCATTTATCCTTTGTGTTACAAACAATCCGATTACTGTAGTGCATTTTAGCCTGCTATTGATGATTGTTTCTTCAATTTATTGAGGTAACTTGAATTTTGATCTTCTATATACTTGGCAGATCCATCTTCTTGGGGACATATGTAATGTTTATAAAGATATTATTTTCTACTGTCCAGACCCATATCTCAGTACCCTTCTATGCCAATATATAGTGAAAGTTGAAAGAAAGATAAGAAATAAAGCCCCAAAACCCCAGGTTACACTAGCCTGGTATATCTGTATTGGCCACAGTTTTGTAAACTGAACTTGCAATGATGTTTCTTAAATGATAACCACTATTGTTACCAACAGATACTGAGTACCTACCACATGTAGAAACGGTATGCATGATGCATTGGCCCCTGATCTTGACAGGTTTAGTCTAGATAGGGAAGCAATTAGACAATGCACATATTCTGTTTGGTAGAATTTTCCACCCATCTTCCCAATGGATTAAGAGAGAACAAAATGAGGGAACACAGGAATCATCTCCTCTGCCCTATTCTTTTATGGCTATGTTCAGAAGGAAGGAGTTACTAACCTGATTGGTCAGAGCCCAGGCAAAAGGAAAAAAAAAAAAAATATATATATATATATATACACACACACACACACACACATATATATATATACACACACATATATATACATATATATACACACATATATATACATATATACACACATATATATATACATATATATATACAAATATATATACACATATATATACACACACACATATATATACACACACACACATACACACACACACATACACACACATATATATACACACACACACATATATATATATATTGAGAAGGAGTCTTGCTCTGTTGCCAAGGTTGGAGTACAATGGTGCAATCTTGGCTCACTGCAACCTCCACCTCCAGGGTTCAATCGATCCTCCCACCTTGGCCTCCCGAGTAGCTGGGACTACAGGTACCCACTGCCATGGCTGGCTAATTTTTGTATTTTTAGTAGAGATGAAGTTTTGCCATGTTGGCCAGGCCGGTCTTGAACTCCTGACCTCAGGTGATCTACCCACTTCAGTCTCCCAAAGTGCTGGGATTACCTGCGCCCAGCCTAGATGTATTTTTTTTAATGTGCTCACACAACACTTTTGACACCAAATTCTTTTGACACCAAATTCAGCAATTCTCCAATTCTTTTCCTATACCAACTGGGTGTCCTACAATTCAATTCAATTCAATTCAATTCAATTCAATTCAATTCAATTCAATTCTGACACTATCTACTGGTGCTAGCATCAGATGCTACAAGTTAAGAACTCGGTCCCACAAGACTGCCCTCACTTCGAATGCCAGTCACAAGTCTGGGCCTCCTGTGCTTCTGACTAACTGGTTATAAATTGGGGCTTACTATGACCCCCTCCTTGGGTTCAATACTTTGCTATAATGGCCAGGTGTGGTGGCTCATACCTGTAATGCTACTGCTTTGGGAGACTGAGGTGGAAGGATTGCTTGAGGCCAGTTTGAGGCAAGCCTGGGCAATATAGCAAGACCTCATCTATACAAAAAAATTATTATTATTATTATTTTTTTTTTTTTTGAGACAGAGTTTCACTCTTGTTATCCAGGCTGGAGTGCAATGGCGCGATCTCGGCTCACCGCAACCTCCGCCTCCTAGGTTCAGGCAATTCTCCTGCCTCAGCCTCCTGAGTAGCTGGGATTACAGGCACGCGCCACCATGCCCAGCTAATTTTTTGTAGTTTTAGTAGAGACGGGGTTTCACCATGTTGACCAGGATGGTCTCGATCTCTTGACCTCGTGATCCACCCGCCTCGGCCTCCCAAAGTGCTGGGATTACAGGCGTGAGCCACTGCGCCCGGCCAAAAAAATTATTTTAAAAAATTAGCTGGGCATGGTGGCACATACCTGCAGTCCCAGCTACTTGGGAGGCTGAGGCAGGAGGATCGCTTGAGCCCAGGAGGTTGAGGCTGCAATGAGCTGTGGTTATACCACTGCACTCCAACCTGGGTGACAAAGCTAGACCTTATCTATCATATAAATTTTTTAAAAATTTGCTAGAATGGCTCACAGAAGTCAGCGAAATACTTCACTTATGTTTTCTAGTTTATCATAAAGGATACCATTTAGGAACAGCCTTGGAAGAGATGCGTAGGCAAAGTGTGGGGTGAGGAACGTGAAGCTTCCATGCCCTCTCCATGTGCACCACCTCCCAGCACCTTGATATAGTCACCAACCCAGAAAAGCCCTTGGAAAAGATGCTCCTATAGCTCCTATCACAAAGTTTTTATGGAGGCTTCTTTAAGTAAGAATGATTGATTACATCATTGGCCATTGGTGATCGACTTAACCTTCAACCCCTTTCCTCTCTCTAGAGGCTAGGGTGAGTAAGTGGGTAGGGTTGAAAGTTCCAACTCTCTAGTCATATGGTTGGTTCCTCTGGTAACCAGTTTCTCATCTTTCCGAGATTTCCAAAAGTCACCTTCTTAACATAAACTCAGGTGTAGTTGAAGGAGGCTTGTTAAGAATAACACAACTTAGGCCGGGCAAAGTGGCTCATGCCTGTAATCCCAGCACTTTGGGAGGCCAAGGCAGGCAGATCACCTGAGGTCAGGAGTTCGAGACCAGCCTGACCAACATGGTGAAACCCAGTCTCTATTAAAAATACAAAATTAGCCAGGCATGGTGGTACATGCCTGTAATACCAGCTACTTGGGAGGCTGAGGCAAGATAATCGCTTGAACCCAGGAGGTGGAGGTTGCGGTGAGCCGAGATTGTGCCATTGCACTCCAGCCTGGGCAACAAGAGCAAAACTTCATCTAAAAAAAAAAAAAAGAAAAGAAAAGAAAACAAACAAAAAATAATAATACTACAACTTACCATTCTGGACCTGTTTCAGCAGTCAGGGACTAAGCCCAATATTTCAGGAAAAGTTGCTCCTATAGCTCCTATCATTAAGAAATTACAAAGATATTAGGAGACATAGTGAGGAGCTGGGGACAAAGATCAAAATATATATTCCTTGTTATATCACAATATCAAACCGGGATATTAATTAGTCCACACTAGTGGTTGGGGCCACTTTGTGCTAAAGGGTCATTCCCCATTTCCTTCTTTTTTTTCTTTTTTCTGAGACGGAGTTTTTGCTCTTGTTGCTTAGGCTGAACTGCAATGGCGCGATCTCGGCTCACTGCAATCTCTACCTCCTGGGTTCAAGCAATTCTCCTGCCTCAGCCTCCCAAGTAGCTAGGATTACAGGCATGCACCACCATGCCCACCTGACCAATTTTGTATTTTTTAGTAGGGACCAGGTTTCTCCATGTCGGTCAGGCTGCTCTCGAACTCTAGACCTCAGCTGATCTGCCCGCCTCGGCCTCCCAAAGTGTCAGGATTATAGGTGTGAGCCACTGCGCCCAGCTTTTTTAAAAAATTGAGACAGAGTCTCGCTCTGTCGCCCAGGCTGGAGTGCAATGGTGAGATCGCAGATCATTGCAACCTCTGCGTCCTGGGTTCAGTTCTCCTGCCTCAGCTGCCCCAGTAGCTGAAACTACAGGTGTCCATACCATGCTTGGCTAATTTTTTTTATTTTTGGTAGAAACAGGCTTTTGCCCTGTTGGCCAGGCTGGTCTCGAACTCCTAACCTCAGGTGATCCACCTGCCTCGGCCTTCCAAAGTGCTGGGATTACAGGCATGAGCCACTGTGCTTGGCCTTCATTTCCTTCTGAGTAGGCCCAGACCAGTCTTCATTTAGCACACACTTGGATGAGTAAAGCTGGTCTGCTTTGCAGACCTGATCATCTTCCCCTCTCTTTCCATAGGCGTGCCTAAGCATACTGGTCCCAAAACTTACAGTGTAGGGAGGGTGGGGCTGGGAATTAGGAAGTGTCACTTCAGCCTTAAACCTAGGCCATGCAATTTGACTCCATATTTTTGCAGAGCTCTGCTCTAGAGGTTGCTGGGTGCTAGCTCAGCTATGAATAAAATGATCCTTTGTTTTCTACTCCAATTTTTCTTGGATATAGTTCCCTTGGGAAGCCTGAGGAGAGGAGGGATGATTGGCAGGGCAGGATTTGGCTATTTCTGGTCTTCGATTGTAGCAGACAGTATAGTTGGTCACAATTGTTCACAAATTTTTGCTGCCTTTCTCAGGGAAGGATTATATTTTCCCTACTCCACTGACATCAGGCGTGGCCAGGTAAACTTGGTCTGGCCAAGAAAATATGAGCAGACCATGTGTAAGTTCCAGGCACAAGTCTTAAGAGCCAATGTGTGGTTCATCACAATCACTTTCTTTCTTCCATGAGAGACCAATATGTTCCAGATAAAGACTGCTCCGGGCTGGGTGCAGTGGCTCACATCTGTAATCCTAACACTTTGTGGAACTGAGGCAGGTGGGTCACTTGAGGCCAGGAGTTCAAGATCAGCTTGGGTAACATAGTGAGACTCCATCTCTACAAAAAAAAGAAAAACGTTAGCTGGGCATGGTGGTACACACCCGTAGTCCTACCCTCTCAGGAGGCTAAGGTGGGAGGATTGCTTGAGCCCAGGAGTCGAGGCTGCAGTGAGCTATGATTATACCACTGCACTTTAGCCTGGGCAACAGAGCAAGATCTTCTCTCTGAAAAAAAAAATAAAAAAATAAAGACAGCTCTATCAGACTGGGTCCTGGCACAAAAAAAAACCTAGAGGAGAGCCATACTGCCCTACCACGTACAAGGATGTTTTCAGAAATAAGACTTCATTATCGTAAACCCTCTTGGGATCACCTGTCACCACAGCCTAACCTAGCTTATCCTGACTGATACATTTACTATATTGTCATCTATATGAAGCACCATTGTTTATCCTCCCAACATCTACTCTCCTTTTTTTTTTTTTTTTTTTTTGAGATGGCAGCTCACTCTGTTGCCCAGACTGGAGTGCAGTGGCGCAACTGCAGCTCACTGTAACCTCCACCTCCTGGATTCAAGCGATTCTCATGCCTCATCCTCCTGAGTAGCTGGCATCACAGGCTTGTGCTACCACACCCAGGTAATTTTTTTTCATTTTAGTAAAGATGGGATTTCACCATGTTGGGCAGGCTGGTCTCGAACTCCTGACCTCAAGTGATACACCCACCTCAGCCTCCCAAAGTGCTGGGATTACAGGCATGAGCCACTGCGCAAGGCCATCTATTTTCCTTTCAATCCTCCTAAGATAACCCCAATTTGTTCCCAGTTCATCCACCTCTCCATGGCCATGTGCTTGGAGGAAGGGGGTCTAATTCTCAGCCCTAAGGAATGAGCCATATGAATTTAAGCCATTTATGATATTTTCCTTTTCTTTGCTTGTAACTGGCTTAGACATGGATATATGAGACCAGAAAGTCTGCTTGAAGGATTCTGAGAAAAGTTTTCCTTGCTGATTAAAAAGAGACACACAGGAAAAAAAATAGTCTCTCTGTTTCTGCTGGACATTGCGTGTGGGTCTGCGTCAGCCGGCATTGTGGCAGCCATTTTGTAGCTATGAGGGGCACTAGCCCAAGGCTGTCAGAATGAAAATACGGAAAGAATCTGGGTCACTGATGATGAGGTGGGCGGATCACTTGAGGTCAGGAGGTCAAGACCAGCCTGGCCAACATGGTGAAACCCCATCTCTACTAAAAATTTAAAAATTAGCCAGGCATGGGGGCACATTCCTGTAATACCAGCTACTCAGGAGGCTGAGGCAGGAGAGTCACTCGAACTTGGGAGGTGGAGGTTGCAGTGAGCTGAGATCATGCCACTGTACTCCAGGCCTGAATAACAGAGTGAGACTCTGTTTAAAAAAAAAAAAAGAATTTTAACCTACCTACCTCCAGGTTTATTGTTATACGAGATAATCCATTTTCTTTTTTGTTTAAGACAGTTGAACCTGGAGTGGAGGCAAAAATAATGAGTTTAGCCTAGGGACATTGAGGCGATGGCACGACAGCATCCTTTTAAATCCCGAAGCTCAGGAAACATCAAGGTTAAATTTGAATTTGGGAGTCATCTATGGAGAAATATTCCATAAAGTAATATATCTTAGAAAGCAGATCTGTACCTGGAAAAGCAGCCTCTGTGTTTGAGGAATTCTGGTGATATAAAAGAACATTGCACCTACATGTGTCCTAACTGGATATGCTCCTGTCCCAGGTCTTTGTGTCCCATCCAGAGAAGGGGAGATCACAGAGGTGGTAGTGAGCTCCTGCTGAGGGAGTCAGAGAAAGCAACATCTGGATCCCATCCTCAGAGTCTGCACTCCTCAAGCCTGGCTTTTATGGGCCTCAATAGCCATTTGCAGTTAACTTAAACATTCTAGTTTAGTGTGGATTGCTTTGAAAACGGGTTATAAGTAACTTTTAAATTTATAGACTTATGTCTTTTAGTAAATTATTGTCCCAGAAAATCAAGGTTCTGATCATCTTACAGACATCCTCTGGGTGACACTATACTATAGAAGCCAGGGTCAAAAAAATATATATAAGATGAAATATCAAGGAAAAGGCCAACGTAGAACATAGAGGTTCTAGTGCCCAAGCTAAGGAAGTGTTAAACAAAAATTATGAGAGGCCACTGTTTTGGATTGAGCTTTTGCACTAGGCCACAACAGACCAGACCAAACCAAATCAAGTCCCTCTTGCTAAATGCCACATAATCAAACTGAAACTTGAGATACATCCCACAACAGATGAGTTTTTCCTGAAAACAGGAGATTCCAGTTTACCTGGGTCAGCATAATTAGGCAGTCCCCCCTCTGCTTTAACCCTCACCAAAAAAAAAAAAAAAAAAAAAAAAAAAAAAACCAGCAGTGGCCTGATGTTAGCCAATCAGCAATTCTTCCATTGTTCTGTTTCCTTGTTCCCCTCTTTTAAAACCCACTCTTCTGCCATTGCCCAGTGGAGGCTCTCATTCTGTTTTGTAGAATGGAGGCTACCCCAATTCATAAATCTCAAAAACCAATTCAATCTATAACTACATTTGTTGTAATTTTGTCTTTTGCCAGAAGACAGTTTTGAAAATTACTAATCCATAAGGCACTACTATTACTTTAAGAAAATACATTCATAGGAGCGGGGAGGAGATATTTTGCAACATCAAAGGACTTACTTAAGATTGCTTGAAAAAGAATTTTTGAAATTCCAGTATACAGAACTTTCCTACAGGCTCATCTTAGTAAATGCAAACACCTGCACAGTATTTACAGTGAAGCCCGTGTCTTCCCTGAGACAACTTACCCCATTTCTAAGTTGCCATTGCTAGGTCTATCTTGAAACTACTCTTACTTTCCAAAACCAAAAAAGAAAAAAAAAAAAAGAGACATATTTTAATGAACTGGTATTGCAAATGCAATCTCCAAAGATGGCTAACTTCAATCCTGCAGTTATTTAGAGAGGAAAATTTGGCTTCAAACACGCTTGTCTGCAGGCCTGGTTTGCAATTGGCCAGGACCAAGGACAGTGTTTAAAGATGACTCAGTTGTATGGCCTGGGGAGAGCAGGAGGGGTGAAGGGAAACCAGCCAGTAGTCCTTCTAACTGAAAAGGATGCCAGATCAGGTGTTTTTTTTTTTTTTTTTTCAATTGTACTTTAAGTTCTGGGGTACGTGTGCAGATCTTGCAGGATTTTGCATAGGTACACACATGCCATGATGGTTTGCTGTCTCCATGCCCCCGTTTTTTATGACCTCGAGGCTGTGAAGGCTCAAACCTGCTGCAACCTAGGAGGGGCTGTCCGTTGTAAGAAAATCTGAGACCCCAAGAAATGCACCTTCAAATTATCTGAATGGGAAGTGGCTAAAACTCAACTTCCCCCTCTCCTACATTCTCTCCCATCCCCGTGGGGCCTCAGGCTAAGATTTCGGCAGAGAAATCCCTTTCCTTCCAAGGCTTTAAGGGTCCAACTGGGCGCCTGGCCGTGTGACCTTCGCCAGGCCCCGGAATCTCCTTTAGAACATCCCCGAGGCCCTCCCTGCCCGGGGCTCAGCAGGCACTCGCCTGCGTCCCCAGCCCCCAAGCGCTCGGGATCGCCTCGGGGACGCATCCGCCTCCTACTGCGCATCCCTGGGCAGTCAGCTCCGAAATCCTCCGAGCCGCACGGGGCCGCCGCCCCGTCCCCTCCCGCTCCGGCCGTCCCACCCCAGTCTGCAGCGCCACGCCCACCGGGGGGTCCGGGGCCTGCCGGGGCTACCGTCCTCCGCCTCGCCTGCGCTCGCCGGCGGCTCGCTCCCCGGAACCCCGGAATCCCTGGTCCTTTCCCCGGCAGCCGCAGGCCCCCGGGCCCGCCGCCCTTTCCCGGCGCCGCCCGCCAGGGCCGCCTCTGCAGCCGCCAGCGCCCGCCGCCGCGCGCTGATTGGCTGGCGGGGCCGGCGGCGGCGCTGAGTGGCCGGGCGGATTCGCTGGGTCAGGGCTGCAGAGGCGCCTGGCGCACCCGCGGGAGCGGAGCCGCGGCGCGCTCGCCCCGGACGCCGGCAGCCCCTCCGCTCGCCCTGCTGAGCGAGCGGCCCGGGGCGCCGAGGGGTCCGCGCCGCGCTGCGCGGGGGCGCTTCGCCCTGGCCGCCATGTGCTCCCAGCTCTGGTTCCTGACTGACCGGCGCATCCGCGAGGACTACCCGCAGGTGCAGATCCTGCGTGCCCTCCGGCAGCGCTGCTCCGAGCAGGACGTGCGCTTCCGGGCGGTGCTTATGGACCAGATCGCCGTCACCATCGTCGGCGGCCACCTCGGTGAGCGAGGCGGGCCCCGGGAGGGCAGGGAGGCGCGCCGGGGTCCGCAGGAGCTGGCCGAGTGGGAGCGCTCGTCGGGCCTCCCGCAGCCGAGTCTCCTTCGGGCCCGCACACCGGCTGCTCTCCCTCTGCGAGACTTCTTGGGGTTGGAGAAAGCCGCTAACCTTCATAGCTTCTTTAACTACCACCACCTGCCCCGAGACCAAGCTTCGAGAACGCGATTTAATTTACTTAGGGGACTTCGTTTTGTGAGAAACCCAAATTCACCTGAAGCCGCCGGAGTGTCCTAGGAAAATCAGGCAGTTAAGCCCCAAATTTGCAAATCCTGCTTGCATCAATACCTTCACAGTTTAGACTCTGAGATTTCTAGAAACCCACACCAGATTTACAAAATTACGATTAAGATGACTTTTAAAAAGTTTTTTAGGAGTGTGTAAGCATCAGTACTTTAAAAAACCAGATATGGGGGAAATCTGAGAAAGACTGGAGTCACTTCTGGAGTGTAAAGGGAGAGTGTAGACCTTTGATGGGTTTAACTCATCCTTCTCCCTAGCATTGTTGAATTCTGATTCCAGAAGAGCCGGGATTTCAGGTACAGACCGTTCTGGCCTCACTGATCACTCCACTGCTGTGTTCAGGAGACTTTTGTGGGTAAGACATTGTTGTCATCTGTGGGTCTGACCTCGAAAGAGTAATTATTTTTTCATATATTCTTAATACAAGGCCTCTCTGATTTAGGAATCCCTGACGCAGAAAACTCCCCCTGGCTTGCTGTCTGAGTGTCTCTGGGGCTCCACTGAAGTCATCCAACAATTTCAGGGAGTCCAGGACTCAAAAGGATTTGTGCCCAGTTCAGAGTGCATCTTGGGATACTGTTCGCATTATTTCAACCATTATTTCTGGTTAAATAAGCTTGTAATTTGTTACTTTGCTTTGGCAGGGAAAGGAATTCCAAATTCGGAAAGACTACTTACAAGTGAGATTTTGAATATGACCTGTTTCTGAGTGGAATATATCTGTTATAGGTTTTTCATCCGTAAGTTTATCGAATCCCTTATACTTAATATCAGATTGTATATCCTTGGGAGAAATATACCATAAATATTAGGTACCTTACATTTAATCTACAACCAATGTCTTTCAGATTTACTAAAAAAAACTCTCACAGTTAATGTAGAGCTAGATTTCTAAACAGGGAATCTGCAGATGTGGATTCTTACTACAGCTTTGCAGTTAACAAGTATCTTGGCTTTGCTTTGGGCGAGCCAGTTTATGTCTTTGAATCTCAGGATTATCATTTATGGAAACTAAGGGTTAGGGTTAAGGTTCCTCTAGCTTTAAATTTATGTGCTTCAGTATCATATTTAAATTGTATAATCTGTTGTATTTTACCGACGTAGATTAAGTAACATGTACATCTTTCTATCCAGGATGAGCTTTTAGCTTATTTATTTTACAGCTTATAAAGATGTCTTTTTTGAGATACAGTAACCAAATTTCACATCATGTTCCTGTGGTGAACCATCACAAATTCTGTAAGAGTAAGAAAATGAATGCTCTGTATCTAAAACCCCATTTTAAAGAATCAGCCCTAGAAAAAGATAAAATTAAATGCTAGTGCCATAGGAAACATTCAGACTCTTTTAATGTCTTAAATATTAATGGAATTCATGTGTGAAAATACCTTTATCTACAAACAAGGAGTTTGTTCTTTTTAACTGCAAGAAAATCTACACAGCTGTTTGCCTGGTAGATGGAGAAATTGAAGACAGGCATTTTTTTGGTTGCAGTTTTAATTTTTGTTAATTCTGAGGTAGCTCACACAAATCACAGCACATAGTACAAAACTAATAGATCACCAATTTTGCTGTCCAAAGCTGTCAAAAGATTTGTTATGGAAGCAGAGTAATTAAAGCACAAGTGAGTCCCATGAGAATGACCTTGTTGGCTTTGTTCAGTGCTATAATAGTGGCTAGAATAGTGCCTTGCACATAGTAGGCTCTCAATACATATTTTTTAATGAATCAGGATATGATCTATGTTTCCCAGTTTCTTCTGTAGTCAAACTATAGAAAACCCTTGACAATTTGCCGAGCCAGCGTAAAAAAACAAACAAACAAAAAAAAAAAACAGAATTCACCTGCTTTGAAATACAGAAATATGTAGTTATGATACTGATATTATTTACCATTTGAGAATTACAGAATGAGAAGTGGGAAGGATTTTCAGATCATCCATTCTAATTCCTTTATTTTGCAAAGAAGAACCTGAAGCTCAAAGAGGTGAAGTGACTTCCTTGATGCCATCCAGGTAGTTAGCGGCAAACCTAAAGTTAAAAAACCTGATTGCCTAATTTCTAGCCCAGTGATAGGGAATAAGCTTCCTTTCGGACATCTGTAGCCTATACTACCTTTCTCAGTAGATGTGGAATTGAACTGATTTGAATTAAATTGAGGCTAGACAGTGACTTTGTAATGTAATTTTATAGTTTAGGAAATGTAGGTATCACCTTTACAAAGCCTTTGTGCCTTCATTCCTTTCTATTGCTTCTTTATGTTAGTGTAGAAATATGACGATGGAGTTGATTGGGGAAGGTAGGTATGGGCAGTGCCTCTGCCAATTGCTTAAATTCATTCCTGAGTTTTTCTCTCTGGAGGCCAGTGGGAGCCCAAATCCAGGGCTTAGCGTTTCAGTTTCATCTAGAAATAGGATTCAGACAAGAGATGATAAGTTTTGAATTTAAAGATTGCAGGTACTGTATTTTAAGCAAGATTATTCATGTAAATGGAAAATGCTATACAAATGCAAGGTTTCATGATTATTATTATTTTTAATCTAGTAATCTGAATGGGGAAACAGCGGGGAGAGGAAAAGGATCTTTAAGTGCCTGAAGCAGTCCTATAGAAAACAGCCTCCCTTCACTTTCTGCTGGGTATAACATTATGTGAAAATCATATCCACCTCTGTTTCCTTTTTAGAAACTGCAAGTTCTTTATTTATTCAATAAATACGTACCGAATATTCTCAACCTTAGGGATAAAGTGATGGACGTGACACCAGAATGTACATCATAATAAGCGTCATAGCAATATATGTATATATATGGTGCTTATTCTGTGCCGAGCATAGATTTAGCTCCTTTTTACCTATTAGCTCTTAAATGCCAATAAGGATATATGGGAATATAGCACTGGCTGGGAGTTAGGACCAATACTCAATAATTCTGGTCTAAACACGTCTCCGCTCTTCCACTCTATCCCTTACATCAGTTTACACTGATTTCACTATGCCCTTCTGTGACTCCAGACCTTGCACTAAAATTCCCTCTGCCTTGGATGCCCACTGTTCCCTCCCACATGGTTAACCTCTATTCATCCTTCAAATTCAGCACAGGTCACTACTCTCTATAAAGACTTTTTTGAGCTCCTTACTCAGTTCCCAAGTAGTCCCTCTCTTTCATCTGCTTCCAGATAGCTTTGTCCATACCTTTTAAAATAGCACTCATCATATTTTGTTATAATTTGTCTATTTATACAGTTTATATCCCTCCTCCCTCTGAAGAACTGAGATTCCTCAAATGTATGCTTCATAAGTAGTACATAGTAGGCATTCAGTTAATGTTTGTTGGATGACTAAATGAAGTTTCTTAAAAGCTAATTTGAAGTATGCGAGACTTTTACTGCAATGAGCTAAGGAGCTTCTGTGTCGGGGAGATCATGAGAAGATGTGTAAATGAGGACAGATTCACTAGGGAGAATTAAGTTCTTTGCCCACCCGCAGGTCTGTTTGATTAATTGGCTCAAGAAACAAGTATAGTCACAAACTCAGGGACAAATACCCACCAAGACATATAAAATGAGTCTGACCTGGAAATGAGGTTGTGTTAGTGTTTGTCTCTTAGGAGCAGGATGATTCAGCATTCCTTCCCTTACATTCAGAGCTAAAACATTGGTGACTAAATCACAAATTCTAGGTCAGGTTCTTTAAATCAAGGTGTTCTGGAATCCTTTTACTTGGTTCTTTGTATTAATCAGGTGAGTCAGATTTAAAAGGGTTGGAAAGGGGTGGATTCTGACTAGATTGGTATAAGGAAATGGTCTTTCTTCAGACCACTAAAAGGCAGCAGAAGGCTCACAGAGAATAAATGGACTCCCATCGCTGTGCAAGAAGACACTGGCAGGAAAGAGTACCATGCTAACTTTTGTGCAGAAAACTTGATCTTTAACTTCAGTTTCCACTAAAGGCTTGTGCTTGACATCTTATAATCCAAATGATACCACTGTGCAACACTTGTGGAAAAGAAAGGTCAGGGAATGAATGGAAGCACCTACCATGTATTTCCAAATGGATGTGAGTGCTGCACGGATCTGCTTTACCCTTTGGGGCCACATTTATATCAGTAGGCTGACCTCAAGGGCTGAGGGTGGGATGGATGTTTATGTTTCTAGAAGGAGTTTTTAGGGACACCTCATGAACTGTGTTAGGAAGAGTTTTAGAACCAGTAGAAGAGATTCTTCATGGATCTCAAAGCTTTACTCCTAGATTTTCTTTTTTTTTTCTTTTGAGTTGGAGTCTCATTCTGTCACCCACGCTGGAGTGAAGTGGCACAATCTCAGCTTACTGCAACATCTGCCTCCTGGGTTTATGCGATTCTCCTGCCTCAGCCTCCCGGGTAGGTGGGTAACTGGCATGTGTCACTACACCTGGCTAATTTTTTGTATTTTTAGTAGAGATGGAATTTCACTATGCTGGCCAGGCTGGTCTTGAACTCCTGACCTCAGGTGATCTGCCCACCTCGGCCTTCCAAAATGCTGGAGTTATAGGCGTGAGCCACCACCCCCGGCCCCTACGTAGTCCTAGATTTTTGAACCACCTGTTGCTGCTACCAGAACACTTCCACCAAATTTGTTGGGCCTGCTTGGTGAAAGGGGGTATAGCCATCACTCAGAAATATTTGTGTCATCTCTGCCCATCTATACCTCCTTGCCACTTCCCTCACT